TGCAGGCACTCGCAGCCCGCGTGGGGCTGTCCAGAGTGGGCACAGGCAGCCCCATGCAGGCCGCAAGCAGCTGCAGTGTGGGGCATAGGGCATGGGGCGGGGAGGGTCCATTTTCCCCCCCACTGTGGTCCTTCTTTGCCCGGGGTCCCCCCTGCCCCCACTTACCTGAGCTTCCTGTGCCAGGGCAGCCACGGTGCTCACAGCCCAGAAACCCCAGCTAGGGGGCGGGGCCGGGCAGGCCTGCTGTTGTTGGAGTCTGCTGGGCTTCCCCTGGGTCCTACTGCCCTTGGTTCCTGCCAGTTTTGACAGGAACCAAGGGCAGAGAAATATTAACTTTCTACATTTTTTTAGGTTCCCCATGGGCCAAAATAGAATGGCCTCACAGACTGGATCTGGCCTGTGGGCCGTATTTTGCCCACCCCTGCTTTAGTTTCATCAGCATGATGGGATTTTCACATTTTCCAGGTGCCAGGACAGTGCTACACTTTTTGGTTTGGCTGAAGGTTCCTTCCATTCTTCTTTGAAGATGGCCCACTGGCAGCTAAGGGTCCAAAATTCATGGGGCAAGCAGGGCAGCAAGCAGGAGAGAGCCTGGTTCTGAAGTCCCTGTGAGAAGGGAGCCCTTCTGGAGTTCTGCTTTCTGCTTCCATGGCTACCTATCCTTTTTCATTGAAGTTACTGGATAAAATGCAAAACAGCACTGGGTTTGAGCCTGGAAGTGAGAGAGAGCAACTGTGCTTCGCCTCTCTTCCCCTGGGTTTTTCATGGTTTTTCTGTCTTCCTGAGATATGGGTACTTGAGTAGGATTTTTAAAAGTCCCCAACTTCAAAAAGACATAGGCAAATAAGAACATAGGGATGTATACGTTGCCTTTTTAGTGTGCCTAGTAGTGTTGCAAAGCCCACTTGCTCTCCTTCCAGGTTTCAATCCTAGAAATAAGACATGGTAGCTTCCTTATTGTCACAGAGCATAGGCCAGTCAGTATGTCTGAGACAGCTGAAGCATAGTACTTGAGTGCATGGTATAGTGCTGCTTTAAGGCAGCTATATTGCTTCATTTATGAGATTTTGGCAGATGCAAGTGTGCAGGACGTGCTTCTTGGTGGCATTCCCAGGAATGGCAATGAGGCAATATAGATGCTGTCTATGTGTTATTGAAAGTAAAAGATAGATCCATATCATCCTGTTTATCGCAAAAAATTGTGAAAATGGGAAATCTGACTCAACAAAACCCCTCTCTGGAGCAGAGTAGCTTAATAGAACATCTTATCATAAAACCAGAAAACAAAGAGTAGAAGCTCTATAAAATGTCCCTACGCGTTTACTTTTACTAGCAAGTCTGAACTTCAGACTCCACTTCTGTATACACGTTTAAGTCAGTGATTCTCAGTCTTGGTGTCACAGCACTGGGGGCACTTGAGTTCCTTTTGAGGGTGCTGCAGGGTGCCACACAATGTTATCTCTATTAGGTATGCAAACGTGATTCATAGGATAAACCCAGAGATTTCAAATGTGAATCTCTAGTTGGGATTTAAGTTCTTTGCAATAGAAGAACTGTTCTATTGTTAGTCAAACAAAGAGTGAAAACTAAGAGCTGGCATTTTCCCAGGGGTGCTAGGGGTCTATAAAAAGTTTGAGAAACACTGACTGAAACAGTTTGATGTATGCAGATATATAATGTATTAACTTTAAAAAAAATGTTTTACTGGTGAAATGTAGCATAGGAATGTGCCTTTTGCACTTTTTCTTCAAAGTACATTTCTGCACAAAAGGGTAGTGCCATCAGATAAAGAGCTGAGAAGTAACCCTGTATCTGTTGTTTCTTTTCTTGCTCTTTGAGATTGTCCTGCAAGAAATATGTAAACTTATAATTTAATCTTTTCTGTTAAACAGAATAGTCATATATGTCCACTCTATGGTTCCTATCCAGTAGTGTAAGTAGTGTTGTGTAACTAGGGCTTGATCTCCAGGTGTCCTATGCTGCTGCCAAATCCATGGTTGTCCCTTGTCATTGGTAGCTTGAATCAGCAGTAGTGGGGGGCTAGGGCCAGTCTTGCCAGTAGGACTGTTAGTGGCTTGTGTCCCTCGTTCACTCTTAAGTCCAGGTCCCCTCATGCTCCTCAGGAGATGCTGCTGTAACGCAGGAAAGTGTCAGCATAGCCGGTAGCCAGGCAGTTAAAAAGCTTCCTGTCATAGCCACAGGTGAGAGCAACCAGGGGGCAGTGAGAGGGTCCATGCACACGGTAGCTTTTGTGTTAACCCCCTGACTGCCAGCCAGTGCCTTTTTGATCTTCACTAAATTCATCCTTTCCCCCACACAATCTGCTATTATACCCTGATTAAGGGGATAAATGTAAATCTAGAACCTGATCTGCCATTCAGGAATTGTCAACAAGGCCTATCAGTGCAATATTAAGGTAACTTTACCTTCTGTTCTTCCTTTCCAAAGCCAGCCTGTTCTCCATATTATACTAGCTTCTTTTTGGACAAGGAACAAAACAGAGCTTTAAACTTCAAACTCAGATTATGACTTCCTGAGTAGGGGTTTGTGGTGCAACCACTCGATCAGTGGTCACCAACCAGTGGATCTTGATCCACCAGTAGATCTTGGAGCCTCTTGCGGTCGATCTGAGGCTGGGGTGGAGGGTGGGGGGGGCTGAGTGCCAGTGTGCATGCACGTGCGCAGCCCAGCCCAGCAAGTCAGTTCATGGGGGAAGGGGCGGGGCTGATCATGGCCCCTATGGTGAGGGACAGTGTCGTAGAGGCAGGAGCAGGGTAAGTTGTGTGTGGCCCTGGCTGGCTGGGACTTACCTGCTGGGGAGGCACACCTGCAAATATGCATAGTAGATCTTAGGGTGCTTTTAAATGCCAAAGGTGATCTCCTACTTAAAAAGGTTGGAGACCGCTGTACTAGATGGTACGTCTCAACATTTAAAATTTAATGTAGTGTTTCCATTTTGTATTTAAAATTAATCAGCTTCTTCAAATAAAGTGCATTTAGAATTGAAATAAATCTCAAAGTACTTGACCAGTACTTAGACTAATAATATATTATTTATAATATATTGCATATATTAGCATGACAAAAGCGCCTATATTATAATTATCACATCAGGAAATTCAGTTGATGTCTTGGTAGGCTCTTTAAACATGATATGTCGAAAGAAAGCATCAGAAGTCTTAGATTATGGTATCAGGCCAGTGACTGACGTAGATGATACAAAGTGAATTGGACTAGTACAATATTTTTATTGATTTCTTTTATGATAGGATGCAGAAAAGCACTAAGAAATGCTGTACATCTGCTATACTTTGAAGTTATCAGTAAATAGCTTGTGTGATAACTAACCTTAAATATATTGAATCACCTCAACAAACAAGAAATGCTTTATTTTTTAAAAGGAAAAATTGTCATTTCAGCTGCTCACTTCAGTGCTTAAAGTTTTTACCTACCAAATTTGTAGCCAGCTTTATTGTGGAGATACAAGGTTATTTCCCTTTTAGAACAAATATTAGGGAAAGCTTAAAGGGTTGGTGTCTTCCACTCGTGTAGTTTTGTTTTAAGTATCCAAAAGTACTTTGGAGAACTCTTCCTGTTTCAAAGATCTGTAAAATAATAAAAGCACAGAAAATATTTTTAAGGTTTTAAGGACACGTCTTTTTTGATCTCATTAATACCTGGTACTTATATAAAAGCAACATCATTACTTTTATATAAGTAATATCATTCTCAGTTTTCTATTCTAAGTGCTCAGCTAATTCCCAAAAGAAGTTTGAAAGTTCTATCTATCAGAGTTAAATATTTTGTCAGGGAGGATCTACTATATCTTCTTGAAAAAAAATACAAATAAAAATCTCAAGAATCCTAAAACAATGAATGAGAGATATAGCAGGAAGGAAAAACTGGTTAGTAACAATTTCCTCTAACCCAATGGTTGTCAGCTGCGGGTATGTGGACCCTTAGGGGTACTTAAAAGGGTTGTAGGGGCTACGCAGAATTGATGTGGCCGATTTTAATTGCTACGTGTGTGTGCAGCTGCAACGCAGCTCATGGGTGGCCAGGAGCGTTGCCTGGCCCCATGGAGAGCAGCCAGGTCTGGCTGGTAAGTCTGTTGTGGGGGAGGGAGTGGGGCTGGGGCCGGGACAGGGACTGCCTAGCCAGGGTGGGGCACAGGATTGAGCTGTGTCCGGGGGGGATTGATCTGTGTGCAGATGGCCCTGTGCGCAGATCCGAGGGCACATGCCCACCATGTCTTCCCGGGGTGTGCGTAGCGTCAGCAGCCACCTCCATGTCCCCCCAGATGAGCTGCTGGTGGCTCCATCCCACTCCCTACCCCAGCTGTGTGGAGCCTCAAGCTGCCCACCCCCCTTAAAAACAAGAAAAAAATATAAAGGGGTACATGAGATGAAACTTTGAGACAGAAGGGGTACACTTGTTAAAAAAGGTTGAAAACCTCTGCTCTAAGATGAAGAGAAATGCCACCCTGAGCCTTTTAGTGTGAACCCATTAGCTTACCATTGGAGAGAAACTCCTTTTCCCCAAAACCTGTTTATAGATTCATAGATGCTAGGGTCGGAAGGGACCTCAATAGATCATCGAGTCTGACCCCCTGCATAGGCAGGAAAGAGGGCTGGGTTCAGATGACCCCAGCTAGATGCTTATCTAACCTCCTCTTGAAGACCCCCAGGGTAGGGGAGAGCACCACCTCCCTTGGGAGCCTGTTCCAGACCTTGGCCACTCTAACTGTGAAGAAGTTCCTCCTAGTGTCTATTCTAAATCTGCTCTCTGCTAGCTTGTGGCCATTATTTCTTGTAACCCCTGGGGGCGCCTTGGTGAATAAAACCTCACCAATTCCCTTCTGTGCCCCGTGATGAACTTATAGGCAGCCCGTTCAGGTCTCTTTTGATAAATGTGTGCAGTATGAAAGGTGGTAGACTGCAGTAGGATATTTTTTAGTTTAAAAATCTTAACTTTGCTCTTAATATATTTACTCAGAAGTCCATAAGGGAGTAAAAAACAGAGTTTTAACCTAAAATGGCTTTTCAGTTTTTTGTATTTTAAAAGGGGAGGCCATGCCTGTCGTCCTTGGCAAAGAAACTGTAAGTTTCATAGCTGAGATGCTTTACAATTTGAAGAGTTGTTATATTCAGTTAAAATTCAGTGTTGTTTGTTTCACAGTATACTTGATCGTTATTATTTTTACTTTTGATAACTCTCAGTTGGACGTAAGCATACTTTTGTGAACTCTCCTTTTTTAAATATGGGAGACTTATTGTAAGATTTAATCTTTTTTTTGTTATTAAGAATACAATATTGAAGCAGGTTGAAACTGAACCGAAAAGGTATTTTGGCTTTATACAGGATTATTTTTTAATCAAGGTAAATAAACTTTTAAAATTAACAGTTTGAAAGATTAATCAAGGTTTTTTTTTTCTTTTTTTTCTCCTGAAGGAACTTTTGCTCTCTGGTATGCCAGAAATAGATGTGAATGATTGGCTAAAAAATACAGAATACACAAGTGGTTATGAAAGAGGAGACCAAGTTATTCAGGTAAAGTCCCTTCTGAATGGATGGAAAATATTGCATTTTAATCCCTCAGAGTGTTTTGTTTTTTTTTTGCCATCCTTTGGTAAAAACTTAGGTTAACCAAAGTTTTGCTGTAAATTATTTCATGTAGGCATGGAGCGTAGGAAAGCTGTCTATGGATTTTGTGCCAGAGGTAGACAAGGTTCCTTGGGTGAATCTGATATCTTTTATTAGACCAACCCAGATATTTGGAGAATAGTTATTAAGCAAGCTTTTGGGTTCAAAAACCCTTCGTCAGGCTAAGGAAGTTTCAGCAGTTGGTGTGTGCTCTTCCTGGATGGAATGAAAAGTAAAGAGGCCAGCGGCTGGACTGGTAGGCATACAAGACAGGTAGTCAGTGAAAATGTAGATTGAGGAGTCAATGGGTGAGACACAAGTGGGGGGGAGGAGGGGAGAGAGAGAAGGGGGATGCAAGTAGAGAGCTATCTGGGGAGTCAGATGTCAGGCAGGTTATAATGTGTCATAAATCCAATGTCTATATTTAGTCCATGATTTTTAGTATCCAGGAGGTTGATGAAGTGGAGTTCATATGCTCGTCTCTGGGAAGTGTTTTGTAAGTTTCCTTTGAGGATCAGAACTGAGAGATTGGAGAGAGAGTGGTTTTCTTGTGAGAAATGTGCCCCCACAGGTAATGTGCCAGAGGTAGTAACTTCCATAGTTTAAACTACAGATAAGCAAATATGCCATTTTTGTATTCACTTTTTTGGTTTCAAAAAGATTATTGGGAAATGTAAACTAACTTTCTTTGGGTTTTTTGTGTGTTTGGTTTTTTTTTGTTTTTTTTTTTTAGTGGTTTTGGGATGTGGTAGAAGAACTATCTCAGGAGGAGAGAGTGCTGTTGTTACAGTTTGTTACTGGCAGGTGAGAGGTGTTTCATGTACCATATATATATTAAGTAGTTATCTAAGGGTGCTGACAGACATGGAAAAAAAACAGTGATTTACTGGAAGAGGTAGCACCTTAATTTTGACACTGCTCTGCAGCATCTGAATGGATCAGGTGCTTCCGTGGGACTTCTTGGTGCTTTTATTGTTTGAATCAGCTATTGGATACAAATGCCAAAAAGTCACACGGAAGCACCTGATCTATATAGATGTTGGGTCAGCTGGGTGCAACTAATGCGATGCCTCTTCTGGGCATACACTGCTTGGTGCTGGGGTGCCCTGAGCTTAAAGTGCCTGTTTCCCCCCTCTTCCCAATATCTGTAAGCGGCCTAAAACTTGCCCTAACTAGGTAGGAAATTGTTGTAAGGAATAACTGGAACAAGAGCTGTTTTATTCAATTGGGTAACCTATATACTCATATAGTACTAAAGTAACATGTTTTGCTAACATTTATATTGCCAACAGTATGCTACTTGTCAGTATTTACCCGAATTTAAGATGCTCCCCCCCCC